AAATGTCTATCAATCATTCCCCTTCTACTCTGCTTCATTTGGGTTTTGCCCAGAACCCAGAGATAGGCATTCTTTAGAACTGCTAAACTAATCCAGTGATTTTTTTTTTTTTTTAAATTTTAAGTTGTACATAAATCTCCTGGGGAATCTTATTAAAATGCAGACTCTATACATTCAGTCTGGGGAGGGGCTTGAGATTTTGCATTTCTAACAAGTTCTCAGAAAATGCTAGTGCTTCAGGGCCAAGAGTGTCACTTTAATTAGTAAGGATCTAAATTATCTTTAAGAATACTTTCAGGAAAAGAAAGAAAGAAAGAAAGTAAGTAAGAAAGAAAGAAAGAAAGGGGAAAATGAAAGAAAATAAACATATAATTAATGCATTTTTATGTCTTATAAAGGCCTGACATTTGTTAGAAACAACTGAAGAACTAGACATAAAATTTAAATAATGAAAAAATTTTCACTCAAATAATGTTTAATATTGTTATAGGAATTCACCAGAAGGAATATTTCCAGTGTTACAAGTTTGAGGTTTTCACATAAAATACATAATTCTATTTTAATAAATGGAATTTTCTGAATCCCTAAAATTCATCATGAAAGTTGACTATTAAGATGGTTATACTTATGTGTCAACTTATAGGGTATTTTTCAATGAGATTGACATTTAAATCAATGAATGTTGAGTAATGCAGATTGCCTTTTTAATGTGGGTGGGCTTCATCCAGTCAGTTGAAGGCCTGAGGAGCACAAAAAGTCTGGGTTTCTTAAACAGAGGGAGATCTCCAGTAGTGTACCTTCACACTTCACCTACACCATCTGCTTTCCTAGGTCACCAGCCTGTTGGCCTTCAGACTGGAACTGTACTATGAGCTTTCCTGGGTTTCCAGCCTGATGGAACATACTACATTTTTTGGATTCTCCAGACCCCATAATTGTGCAAGCTAATTTCTTATTCTCACTACTTATCTATCTAGAGACAGATATAGAGATAGAGATATAGATAGATATAGTGATATAGATATATCTATATATATCTATATCTATCTATCTATCTATCTATCTATATATATATCCAGATAGATAGATAGATAGATAGAGTTAGATCCCACTGATTCTGTTTCTCTGGAGAACCTGCACTAATACAGATCAGATTTTGGTACCAAAACTAAGGAGGAGCATGTCACAATATCCCTTTTAAAGTGAAGGGGTAGTTGTTTCAAAAGGCCCTTCCAAAGCCAAAAGGAGATATAATACATAGTGGGTCTATTTGGATTTTGGAGGCAACATATTTCTCATTTAGGTGTGTTACCCCAGCTCTTTCATCTACTAGGTAAAAGCTACTAGTTTTGAGTAAGGCTTAAAACAAGAGTAGGCTCTGCAGCAGGCCCAGGCTGCCATGCAAGCTTCTCTGTTTCTTGGGTCACAGGATCAGCAGAGCTAAAGGTGCCTGGAGTGTCAGTGGCAGGTAGGGATGCTGTTTGGAGCCTTTGTCTCCAGTAGCTGAATCACAGCACAGGTTGTTCTGAGTTTGGAGCTAAGCCCTGTCATTCTCCACAGATAACTACCCTCTTTTTAAGACACAGTTTGGGGTCTGCTACTCAGCCTCAGTGGAGGCTGAATGCTTAACCATGAGCCACCAGGTCACCACATGACCTGAGCTGCCCACCACGAGCTGGGTGTTATCTGACCCAAAAAGCCATGAAGTTGGGGGTGATAGCAGTCTTCCATCACCAAATGGAAGTGGTGTGTATGAAATCAGGCTTGAACAGAGCCTGAAGGCACAAGTAAGTTACCTGAGGAAGTAGCCTAAATGCCCATGGACCCCACTTCTGTTATACGGCTTTCTCTCTCCCAACCTGCACCTAGTGCTTCATGGGGAGCTCCCTGTGACCATTGACAGAGGAAAAGAAGACTCAGGCCTGGTTTACAGACGGTTCTGTATACCATGCCAGAACTACTGGAAAGTGGACAGCTGTAGCATTATGACCACTTCCTGGGACAATCTTGAAGGAGAGTGGTGAAGGGAAATCCTCCCAATGGACAGGACATCAAGCACTGAAACTGATTGTTCATTTTGTTTGGAAGGAAAGGTGAACAGATGCACAGTTATATACTGATTCATGGACTGTGACCAATGGCTTGTCTGGATAATCAAGGAAACATCCATGGAAAGAACATGATTGGAAAATTGGTGACAAGGAAGACTAGGGAAGAGGTATGTGGATAGACCTGAGTAGATAAAAATGTAAAGATGTTTGTTTCCTGTCAATGTTCACCAAAGGCTGACTTCAACAGAGGAGGATTTTAATAATCAAGTGAACAGGATGACCATTTTGTGGATATGAGCCTCCTCTTTTCCCAACCACCCCTGTCATCACCCAGTGGGCTCGTGAACAAAGTGGCCCTGGTGGCAGACATGGAGATTAAGCACAGACTCAGCAATGTGGGCTGCCGCTCACCAAGGCTGCACTGGCCATGGCTACTGCTGGGTGCTTAATCTGCCAGCAGCAGAGATCAACACTGAGACCCCCATATGGCGCCATTTCCCGGGGTGATCAGCCAGCTACTTGTAGCAAGTTGGTTACATTGGACAACGTCCATCCAAAAACAGGCAACATTTTGTTCTTCATGGAACAGACCCTCTGGATATGAATTTGGCTTCCTTGCACACAATGCTTCTGCTAACACTACTGTCTGTGAACTTACAGAATGCCTATCCACCATCTTTATATTCCACCCTGCACTGTTTCTGATCAAGGAACTAACTTCATAGGAAATGAGGAGCAGCAATGAGCCTCTGCTCCTAGAATTCACTGGTCTTACCATGTTTCCCCCTATCCTGAAGGAGCTGTATTGAGAGAAAGTAAATTGGCCTTTTGAAGACTCATTTACAATCTCAGCTGGTGGAAATACTTTGCATAAATGGGGAAAGTTTCTCCAGGAGACTGTATATGCTCTGAATCAGCATCCAAAATACAGCGTTACTTCTCCAATGGCCAGGATTGACGGGTCCAGGGGTCAAGGGGTGGAAATGGGAGTGGCATCACTCGCTATACCCCTGGTCACCTACTAGAACAATCATTGCTTCCTCTTCCCATTACCTTATATTCTGATGGCCTAGATGTCTTTGTTACAAAAGGGAAGGAGACATGATAAAGGCTCAGTTGAACCACAAGTGAAGACTTTTCCCCAGCCACCTTGGATTCCTCATGCCTGTGAGTCAAGAGGCAAAAAAGGTAGTTGTTACTCTGCTGGATGGGATGACTGATCCTGTCTTCCAAGGGGAAATTGGAGGTCTACTCCACAATAGAGGTAATGAAAAGCATGTCTGGAATACAAGAGATCCCTAGGGTGTTTCTTAGTATTACCATGCCCTGTGGTTAAGGTCAATGGAAAACTACAAAAACCCAATCTAGGCAGGACTACTAATGGCCCAGACCCCTCAGGAATGAAGGCTTGGGTCACCCCACCAGGCAAAGAACCACGACCAGCTGAGGTGCTTATTGAAGCAAAGTGAATTAGTAGAGGAAAGTAGTTATAAATACCAGCTCCAGCACATGACCTGCTTCAGAAATGAGGACCATAAGTGTCATGAGTGTTTCATCGTTATTTTGTTATGAGTGTGTGTGTGTAGTAAGCATCTTGGCTTTCTTCCTTCTTTAACCCTTTATTGAGGAACATAAGATATATTGATTTTTATATCATAGTATTTAAGAATTGTAATGTTTCCATCGTAGTATTGTAGTTTTGAAATATCAAGGAGAAGAATAAACATCATGCAAGGACTTTTTGTCCTCCTCTGGGAAAGTGTTAGTACATTTTCAGGTGTATGCAGGACAGTTGTATCATGTTAGCTGAAATTATGACTTTGTTATTGTCTTTATCTGGAGATTAAGTATGGTTTAAGGAGATGCATATGAGTGCCAAGTTGACAAAGTGTGGCCTCATGATGGGTAATTTTATGTGTCAACTGAAAGGGTGTTTTGGGATGAGATTTATGTATTTAAATTTGTTAACCTTGAGCTGATTGTTCTCTATAATGTGTGTAGGGATCATCCAGACAGTTGAAGGCCAGAATAGAACAAAAACACTGGCTGCCTCAAGCACAAGGAATTCCTCGCAGACTGCATTCAGAAGTCATCTGCAACAGAGTCCCTCCTGGGTCTCCAGCCTGCCAGCCTACACTGCAGATTTGAACCTTTCAGCCCCCACAATTGCCTGAGCCAATTTCTTAAAAGTAATCTCTCTACATATATGCATATCCTATTGGTTTGTTTCTCTGGAGAACTTTGACTAATGCAGCGATTCATCCCCTCAGGAAGCATCCGTCCTTGTTATCAAACCCTCCTCCCACCCACTCCCCTGTGGGTCTCACATGCAACACAGACCACCAGCAATTTATTCTCTCTTATCCGAATCACACATTCACAACTGGAAGCACATCTTCTTCCTTAGGCATTCACCATCCCGCCCTTCCCATATCCGTGACTTGTAGCCACTCTCCTTGTCTCCTCTAATTAATTTTCCAAATCTTAACCACAGGGACACTTCTAGATCATAAGTGTCCTTGTTTAAACACTTAACTGGCAAATGGTTTTCCTCAGACTCAGTTCCAAGCTTGGCTAAGAGACTCCATGTGATGGGGTCTGCTCCCTCTCTCACACTTCCTGTGACCACATTTGTTTCCTTTGAGCTACCTGTTCCTGGTGTGTTCTCTTTCCCGCAGCCCTCAGTTGGTGGCTCTCCTTTGGGGATGCACTGATCAAGGTTCTCTGGAGAAAACAAACCAATAGGACATATATAGATACGTAGAAAGGGACTTATTGTAAGGCTATGAATGACTATGGAGGCTAAGTCCCACAATCTGCCATCTGCAAGCAGGAAGCCCAGAAGCGTTGTGGTGCGGTTCAAGCCCAAACATGAAGGCCTGAGAACAAGTGCCAGTCCAAAGTCCCAAGACCCAGGAGCACTCCTGTCCTGAGCATAGGAGAAGCGGGATGCCCAGCTCATGCAGAGAACAAATCTGGCTTTCCCCTGCTTTTTCTTCTCTTAATGCCCTTAATGAATGGGATGTTGGCTACCTGCATTGGTGAGTGATGTCTTTATTCAACCTAATGATTCAAATGCTAATACCTCTGGAATCACTCTCACAAACACACCCAGAAAAAATGCTTCACCAGCTATCTGGGCAACTCTTAGCCCAGTCAAGCTGACACATAAAATTATCCATCACTGGTGTGGGGAGGGGCATGGAAGTCCTACCTTCTGCTCATCCCCATTTCCTCAGAACCTTCTGGAAGCTTTTTCTACAATGCCTAAGCCCAACCTTTCTTTGTACTCTGTTCATATACTCTGGGAAAGTGATCATCACACTTTATTCAAATCACCTTCTTTTTTTAATGAAATAAGTCAGACAGACTTATATGTGGAATCTACAAAACTAAAATAAATGTATATAACAGAACAGAAACAGACTCACATATATAGAGAACAAACTGGTGGTTACCAGTGAGCAGCAGCGGGGAGGGGCAAGATGGGGTAGGGGATTAAGAGACACAAACTACTATGTATAAAATAAACAAGATACAAGTGTATGCTGTGCAGCACAGGGAGATATAGCCATTATTTTATAATAACTTTAGATGGAGTATAATCTATAAAAATCTTGAATCACTATGCTGTACACCTGAAACTAAGACAAGATTGTGAACCAACTATATTGCAATCACCTTTTTAACTATCAATGTCCTTCACTCACTATTAAACTTCACAGACTATAGTGCCTGGCATTGAGGTGGTACTAAATAAAGTTTTGTTTATTGAATGAATAACAGAATTTTCTATTGTTCTCCAATTGTGTGTAGCAAAAAAGCTATTGTAATCAAGTGGATGTCGCCTTTTTCTCAAATATTCAGTATATGGAATTTAGAATGCGGAAATAAAACATTCAGTTTGGGATTCAGAAAACAGAAATTTAAGTTCTCAGGTCTGAGGTGTTTTGACTTACATTAATACAAGTACTTTTCAAGTGTATTTCTTCCCCTTCCTGGTCTATTGAGCATACCTGCTAAAGGAAAATAGTATGAGTTTTCTGTCTGATTTTTGTTCTCTTATTTTTTCCTGCCAAGGAGATTTGGGGCACATAAATCATTAATGTGTGTTTTTATATATCTTGGTGGTCAGTGATGAGAGAGTTTAAGGTAACATAAATCCTTTTTGTGGTTATTTATGAGAGATACTTTAGGAGTGTAGAATTCAGTACAGGTCCTATGGATGACCTTCAGATAAGAGCCTGGCTTGAGCCTGTACATTTGGAAATGGACAGAGTTCTTTGTACAGGCTACTTTTAGTAGAATATCATAGGAGCATCATCTACTACTGTAACTCTTCCCATTTCTCTTTTATAAGACTTGTTATTTTCCTAGCTTGGGAAGGAGTAAAAACATACCAGCTACTGATCACTGACATTCAAGTACAAAACTAAGTACTACAATAAAAACTTGGAGATAATTTTGTTCAAAAACAGTAGGAAGTGAAAATTTAATTTTGTCTATGAAAAACTCCCTAAGTTTCTATGTGAACATAACTGATGGAAATCTGCTTATATTATTTGACACAACTGTTGAATTGTTCTTCATCTTCACTGATGCAAATGAGGACATACCTCTTCTTCAGCTCCATATACTGCTCGAGGGTAGAAAAATGTACTTCCTTTAAAATGTATAAAATCAGACTATACACTGGTTTGACTCCTCATCACTGCTTGCTATGTCCACTGGATTTTAATGTAGTAATTCCATGGCACACACAGAAACATTCACTATAAAATGAAATGTCCAAAAATTGGAAAAAAAGGACTTTACCATTGCAATGATTTCAGAAATGTAATTCCATTTTACAGAAAAGAGATGCTAGGCTTAATGCCTTCTATTTCGTTTCAGTGTGATCACCTGAAAATGGCATGAGAGCAATACACAATTCAAATATCTTTAAAAATTGAACCATGGACTTTTACAGCTCTAATAGGAAATCAGTACAAATCTACTTTTTACAGGACAAATATGTCTGCATGGTTATAATGCCAATTGTCCTTACCTGTGATTCTCTCTCTCTCTCTCTCTCTCTCAATTACCATTCCTGGAGTTTTATAGAGTCAAAGATATTCTAACAATAGATGAAGTGATTTGACAGATGCATTACAAGGTCTAAAGAGTACTGTTTGATATATCAGATTTTACTGCTCAAGTCATTTGCACAAACATTTGCTTATGGTGGTTGTGTATAGACCACTATAAGAATGTCACATTCATGAGCAAATCATTCCCTTAATGTAATCATTGCATCTGCTTTCTAGAGCAATCTAAATTTTTATATCAATCTCTGTTCAGATCTTATGTAGAAAAATATGTTAATATAACATTCCATCTCAATGAAGACCACAAAACTGTTGAAAAATAAAGAAACCAGAAAGTGACTATAAACTAGCATGTTTAAAAAAAAGGAATTAAAAAATGTATCCATTATTTTGGGTAAAACATGGCTATGTTTCCTTTCCATCAGTATAAATGATGGGAATGTCTGGCTCTATTCTAAAATCTGTTACTATAAGTTGCTTTAGAAGGACAAAAGTTGAGCAACCACCTGGGAGTGTCATGCTGAGTGTGGACTGTGAGTTAGACCGCATTCTAACTCGTGTTCCACTTGTGTCCCCTGTAGCCTGAAGCAGAACATGTACTTGCCCTGACCCTCATACCTCTGGTCTCTAAACTGAGGGCCACACCTGTCCCATTCACTGCTGTGACACTGAATGACATAGCCTATAAAGCACTAAGAATGGCGTTAGCACACAATATGTGATCAATAAAGATTATCTATAGGGCTTCCCTGGTGGTGCAGTGGTTGAGAGTCTGCCTGCTGATGCAGGAGACACGGGTTCGTGCCCCGGTCTGGGAGGATCCCACGTGCCGCGGAGCGGCTGGGCCCGTGGGCCGTGGCCGCTGAGCCTGCGCGTCCGGAGCCTGTGCTCCACAGCGGGAGAGGCCACAATAGTGAGAGGCCCGCGTACCGCAAAAAAAAAAAAAAAAAAAAGATTATCTATAAATATCAACATTAATAGTATTTGGGTTCTTCTATGTACTTTGAAAAATATAGGAACATAAATAGTATTCATTCTGAAATTTTCTGTTCTCTAACTCACCTTGTCTGCTTTGACACTGAGTTTTTAGTGCTCTCATGGAGTGAATTGCTGTTTTTTGATTTATTGGGAGAGGTTGACCAATATTACAATAATCTGTTCCTTGAAAGGTAGTGGAATTCAGTTTTAAAACATTTGATACTAATGTTTTCTTCATGGGTTGACTTGTAGCTACTGATTCAGCTTTTTAATGATTATAAGACTTCCAGGATGTTATATTTTTCTAGAAATCTTTCTATTCTGACAAAATTGTCAAATGTGTTGGCTTTTATTATCTCATTAAAATATCAATATCTGATGGTCCTATGCCATTTCCCACTTTTCGTTCTTCATAGCAGTGATTTTTGCTCCTAAATCTCCTCCTCATCATCCTTCATCTCCATCCATCTTGGTAGAGGTTTGTCTTTTGTTTTCTTGATTTCGCTTTTGTGGTTAGTTTTTTGTTTCGTTAGTTAACATTCTCCATTTTTTCCCCTATCATCAGTTATTTTGATATCTATTCTGTTATTTTTTAAAACTTAAATTTATGCTTAGTTCACAAACATTCCCTCATTCCTACTTCCTCATGTAGTATTTAATGCTTTTGTTTTCCTTTAAGCATCATTTTAGCTGAGTTCCACAAGTACTAGTGTATTCTACTTTCATTATTTTTTAGTTACAAGTATGTTTTTACATTTCTACTGTAATTTCTTCTTATATCTATGAGGTATTTAAAAACATTGTTTTCCTTTTACTGTATGGAGGTTTTACATTTATCCTCTCTTTTATAAAATTCTAATTTAATTATAATATGGACTAATTAATAAAAATATTTCCAGTTTTTGCCACTTGACATATTGCCTATGCCTAATAAGAAGTTAAATTTTGTAAATGTCACATGGGTGCAGGGTACTATCTATATTATTCCAATAAATCAAGACATTAATTTTTTTATGCAAAGTATCTTTCTAACTAAACTTTAATCACTTTGAACTTTCAGTACTTTAAAAACCAGTTGAGCACTCCTGATTTGACAGTGGGTTTGTCAGCTTCACTTACAACTTGCTTTATATTTACATTATTTCATATTTTTTTTGGACTTTCCATGCATTTATCCCATAATGATGCCTTTGTCCTATGTCTTTTTGTCCAATATCAATACAATACAGATCTAATATTAATATACATCTTAGATTTTCTGGACTTTATTTTTTGATGTGATCATACACACACAGAGTTTTTCAAACTCTCATGACTTTTGAAAACATATTACTGAAGTATAACACACATACAGTCAAATCTTAAGCTTGATAAGCTCTGACAAACTGAACACACCCAAGCAACCACCACACAGAGTAAAAGCAGACAGACAGAACACTTCCAGCATCCCAGGCATTCGCTCCGTGCCCCGTTTCAAGTACCACCCATACTCCAGGGTTGACTACCATCATGACTTCACACTCTAGTTTGGCCAGAAATTGAATTTTACATAAAGGGGACAACAAAATGTGTACTCTTTTGTGCCTGGTTTACTGAACTTGAACACTGTGTTTGTGAGATTCCTCAACGCTATTGCATTTGCTTATTTTACCTGAGTTTATGTATCCATTCTCAGGAAATGGGAGTATGCGTAGCTTCTAGTTGGACTATTTAACCAGTGCTGCTCTGATATTCTTGTACGTAGCATTGGGTGTTCCATGTGCTCATGCTTCAATTATGTCACTTAAAAATATTATAGAAATAATTTTTTCCTGCACCCTATCTGAAAAATTGCTTTAAACCTCAAGTTAGACCATTTATATAATATTTTTAATGACACATTCACACACATATATATGTCTATATATGTAATAATATATAGACATGTATATACAAATTTCTTTTTGCCTTGATATGATTTTATTACCTCTTTTTGCCTTTTTAAAAACCAATTTAATTTTTTTTTCTTTATTACATATTTTCCATCAGCTGGCTTGGAACTAATTTACTCAATTTCTCATTTCTATTGTTTTAGTGGTTAATTTTGAAATTTTAATGGGTACTTATAATATTTTAACTCCTCACATCTTACTACTGACAACATTTCAATTCAGTCCTCTTAATTCTGTCCTAACTTTTATCATTAATGTTCCTTTATATACAATGTTTGTTTAGATTTTCTAATGTGTTGTCTTTTTTTAGGGATCACTTTTCTTCTTTGTTAAGTTCAACAAAGTTCAACTTAAAGTTCAACAAATAAATTAAAAGAAAATGTTTATTTGTATTCCTCTGAGAATATCCTCATGTCACCTTGTCTCTTGAGAAGTTATTTTGCTGGATATACAATTCTAGGTTCACAGATATTCCTTAACTGTCTCTTGGAGATGTTACGCTACCATTTTTTGGCTTCTATTTTTGCAGTTGTAAATCTGTTGCTCAACACACTGACATTTCTTTGTAAGTGAGCTATCATTTCTCATGGTCTGCTTCAATTAACTTTGCCTTTTCTTTGCTATTTTGTCTATAGTTTCACTAAAATATGTCTAAGAAAGAATTTCTGGTTTCTTGTTTTTTCTTCATTTCCTTTCCTTTTCTTTCTTTGTCTTATGACATACATAGTACTTTCTGTACTTGTGAGTTTGTACTTTTTAATCATTTCTAGGAAATTCTCAGCCATTCATCTAATCAATTATTGCCACAGCTCTCCTCTCTCTTGAACTCCTGTTCAAATATCAGTGTGACTTTCTCTTTGGGTTTCATCTCTTAACTTTTCTTCCATCATCTCGTTACTTTTTATTACATTCTGGATTATTTCCTTACATATACCTGCCAATCCACTAGGTTTCTCATGAGCTCTGAGATGGATGTTTAATGCACTCTTTGAGTTTGGAGTTTTACAAATTTGTATTTTGTGCTACATCTTTTCAAATATTTTCAGTTAGAGTTATTTTATATTCTGTATCTGATAACCAACTCTGTTATTTGTTGGTGACTCTTTCTTATAGTGGTTTCTTTTCCTGTGTGTTTAGGATATTTTATTCTGATCTCCCGTTTGTTGAAATTAATCTGTGGAAATCCAGGGACAAAAATTGTGGCTGTTTTCTTCCAGGAGCATTTTCTTCTGTCTGGAATCAGAGTATTACCCAAGCGGGACCACTCTGGCCAACTTTCAGAATCTCTAGTTTATTCTAAAAATATTCCAGGCCTTCCCCGCCGGGGAGGCGGGCGGCCGGGCGCAGCTCCGGGCTACAGCAGCAGCTCCCGCGGCTGCGGCCGCGGTGGATCGGGTTGCGATGCGGCGTGGAGACAGACAAGCAGGGCTGCGTGACCGCGTGGTGGTACACGGTCGCACAGAACCTGAGATCTTTCCCATTCCCCTGTTCAACACTCAGAAGAAAAACTTCCACTCTGGGTACCAGCTTTATAAGTAAATCATTAAAAGAACATATTTTCCCTCCTCTGATGAACATGCTATTTTCAACCTTTTCAGAGCACCATTTCTTGTGGATTTAAAGAAACCAGAGTTAAAGATTCCTCATACAGTGAACTTCTACATCAAAGTTGAACCTAGGGTGATTCTGGGTATCTGGCACACAGTTCCTAGCTGCCGGGGGGAGGATGCTAAGGGGAGGGGCCTTAGCTGGTATGAAGCAGCTCTCCATGATGGCAACCCAATTATTGTTTACCTTCATGGCAGTGCAGAACACAGGACAGCTCCTCATAGACTTGAGATAGTAAAGGTGCTGAGTGATGGTGGTTTTCATGTCTCGTCTGTTGACTATAGAGGGTTTGGGGACTCGACGGGTAAGCTGATGGAGGGGGGGCTGACTTCAGATACTATTTGTGTCTACAAGTGGACCAAGGCAAGAAGTGGTAACACCCCGGTGTGTCTCTGGGGCCACTCTCTGGGAACAGGAGTTACAACAAATGCCGCAAAAGTTCTAGAAGGGGAAGGATTCCCAGTTGATACTATTATCCTGGAAGCTCCATTTACCAACATATGGGTTGCAAGTATCAATTATCCCTTGTTAAAGATTTACCGGAAACTTCCAGGATTTTTAAGCACAGTTATGGCTGCCCTGAGGAAAGAGGAACTAGTCTCCCTCAAAGATGAAAATGTTAAATTCCTGTCTTCTCCCCTTCTTATCATACACGGTGAGAATGACGAAACAGTGTCTTTGGAATTTGGAAAAAAGCTCTATGAAATTTCACACAATGCATATAGGAACAAAGAGAGGGTGAAGATGGTAATCTTTCCTCCTGGCTTCCAACACAACTTCCTTTGTAAAAGCTCCACACTGTTAAAAACCATGAGAGATTTCCTGAGCCAGCAGTGGGCATGAGGTATGAGTACAGCGGAGAGCAAAGACTTGCTCCAAACCCCACTTGTGATGTATATTTCTTATGTAAAACTGTACTGGGCTGCTTGGGTGAGCTGAAGTTACTGACATTTCTACAAGACACTTGCCTTTTAGTAAAGAAAAGTATGGATGCTGGGAAAAAATAAATAAATAAAAATATTTCAAGTTCTCCTCTGTCAGTTTGTTGTTGGCCCAATGCTTAGACTCTTGTTTATAGGATTCATGTTGACATTTGCTTTTTTCAGCTCTTGTTTTCATTCAGATTATTTTTTGCCTCTTGGAGATTCCCCTTGCTTTGTGCAAGCCCATAAGTACAATTAAAAGTGTATTATATGCAGTGTTTAGTTGTTTTCCAGGATCAAGTTCCTTCTGAATACATTAGTATCTTGTTTTCTATATTATTTGAAATGAAAGATGTCAGTTTAGTGCTTTTGTATGCATTGTAATTTTATTACATTTTTTTTTACCTATCTCAATGAGTGGTATCACTAGAATTTTCCACCACAGATCCTTTTGTCATAAAAGGCCATACGTGTAGATATAATATGAAACACGAAGTGAAAAGCACTCTTAGTAAGGGATGAAAAAGTAGCTATTGTATAAAATGGGCATAAATTCTTGTGTGTTACTCTTTAAAAAAATAGATAAAAGTAGTATTCCTTGCCATTGTTGCAGGAATGGTGGCTGAGCCAGAATTTTACATGTCCTCATGCACCTCCCAGTCCTACTGTGGTTGGGCAGAACCCAGTGACAAATTCTAGACGGTGGGCTACAGATGAAGGTGATGTGTCATGTCCAGGAGAACAAGAGAGCTGAACAGGACACTCAGGCGTCTCTTCCCTCCCACAGTGTCAAGGATGTTCATGGACTGACCTTCTGGAGCCTCAGCATCAAAGACGCTGTCTCGCTCAGCCCCTTCCCCAGCAGCAGTGCCCTAGATTACTGCTCAGGCCAGCAGCGAATATTCACCCTAGCAGGATTAGTCATGGAGATTTGAGGGGTGGTTCTTACAGCAAAACCTAGCTTCACCTGAGCAGTCCAGTGAAACACTATTTTAGGGAGGTTCTCAATAACCATTTATGGGAACATTTTTTTCTGAAATTTAGCATGTTCAACACCAAGTTCTTCACCTCCTCTCCCTGCCCCACCCTCCCCCTTCCGTGTGGTGCTGTGGCTTGTGTGGGAGTCTTTGTGGAGCATGGGGTGATCCCAAAGCAAGTTCCTTCACATTCATCCTCACTTTGTCGTCTGGAATATGACCCTAATTAGTGTACTTGTTTCAAAGGATTGTTCTAAGAATGAAAACAGTGATTGCATGGAAAGCACACATCATAGAAGCCGGCACAAAACATTCTCTTTAAGGTGATAGCCAGTAACCACATTTGATACAATATATTGTCTAAAATGCCCAGTTTCTTAAAAAAAATATGTAGCCTGCATAGAAACATGAAAGTATAATTATGACACATACACTGGAAAGAAATGAGCAACACACAACTGCCTATGAGAGAATTTGAAAGAAGTCATTAGAGAAATGCAAGTTAAAATAACAAGGAGGTGCCAGTATACACTTGTTAGAATAGCTAAAATCAAATCCCAATGTAATGGTTAATTTCATGTCAACTTGGCTAGGCTACTTGCCTAGTTGTTGGATCAAACCCTGGGCTAAAGGATGCTGTGAGGATATTTTTTACATATGAGGAATATTTAAATCAGTAGACATTGAAGAGGGCAAGTTACCCTCCATGAACTGAATTCACCTCATCCAATCAGTTTGAGGCCTTAGAAACAAAGCCTGCAGTTTTCTAAAGAAGAAGAAATTTGGCCTCAGGAGAGCTACATAGAAACCCTGCCTACGTTTCTAGACAACCCTGCACATTTCAGAAATGAGACCACAACATCAACTCTTACCTGAATTCCCAACCTGTCTGATTGCCCTATGGAGTTCAGACTTAGAGCCCTCACAACCTTATGAGCTAATTCCTTAAAATAACTTTTCTCTCTCTCTCTCTCTCTCTCTCTCTCTCTCCATATATGTATATATATATATATATATATATATACACACACACACATGTATATGTATATATATATATATCACATATGTAAGATATATACCTTATTGTAATAAGATTACAGTTGTTATTGTGTAATTGATAAATGGTAACATATATAAAAATAAGGCATATCTTATTTTATCTATATGATATATATCAACATAAGATATGTATAAAAGATATATAGCTTACTTTTATATATAAGATATTATATATATAAATACATATATCTTATTAATATACATACATACATACATACATATACATCTTACTGGTTCTCTTTCTCCATGCCAGTCCAATTGATGGCAAGATTATGGAGTAACAGGAACTCTCATTTATTTTTGGTGGAAATGCAAAATGGTTCAACAATTTTGGAAGACAATTTGGTAGTTTTTTAAATAGCCAAAACTAACCTTATGATATGATCCAGAAATTATACTCCTAGGTATTTACCAAACTGATTTAAAAACTTATGTCCACATAGAAACTTGTAGCTAACTGTGTATTATAGCTTCATTCATAATTACCATAATTCATCTTTAATAGACAAATAGATAAAAAGATTTTAGTTTATCCATGCAATGGAATATTGTCCACTGATATAAAGAAATGAGCTATCAAGACTTGAGTAAATCTTAAGTACATATTTCTGAGTGAAAGGAGCATTTCTGAAAAGACTACATACTGTATGATTACATTTCCATGGCATTCTGCAAAAGTCAGAACCATAGCAACAAAAGAGCAACATCTGTGGAGGCAGCTTGTGGATGTCTGCTCACCTGCCCCCAGTTTAACTGTGGAAAGGATGAAAATCAACCATCAAAAGCCTCTTGAAATGATCCTAAGGACAAACAGCCGATGAAGAAACATCAATTCAAGAAAACCTATGAAATTCCAGCAAAAGAAGTGAGAGTATGGCATTTGACTCAAGTGTACTCTCTCTTTCCCCATCTCAGCTCTACAAGGCAGACTCTGCTCCAGAGTGCAGCAGCAAGAGCAGAGGGCACCTGCGCCCCTCAGCTCCTTTCTACATGGAGGAAGCTGGACTTCAGTGTTTCTTATCCCTCCCCCTGCAACCTGTTCCTGAGGTCAAGTCCTGGGTGAGTGTGGTCAAGAGGTGGGGCTTTCTTCCTCCACCCACCCTCCACTCATGCAAGAGAGGCTTTGCCTTGGGCACAGCAGCTGAGAATACTGGGGCACTCATTGCCTTTGCCCATGTCGCACAGTGGTGGTGCCCCCCGCCCCCTGGGAGAGGAAACCTGAGAGGGCATCCGTCTGCTTGCATGCTCGCAGACCTTCCACTGGTGTCATCTTTGTGAGGGTGTCACTCAGGCAGAAGCTTGACGTGATGGCATCGCTAGTTCCAAAACCCTAGCTCAAAGATTTTCCTCGGGGGGGTGGAGAAGCAGGGTGTAAAACAGCTCTATTTCTCTTCCCAAAGGAAAAGACTTCATTTATGAGAGAGAATGAAGAAGTTCAAACCTAAGAGTAACCTCAAGAACAGTGGGGGAGGTCATGGTGAAAGGCAATTAGGGGAGATTCCTTGTTTAAATGAAGATACAGCCTAGACTATATAGACTGCATAGTCTGAGGAAGAGAACTGGGGAATAAGACAGCTGGAAAGAGCCCTCCTGGTGTCAGAACAAGTACTGAATTGGACTTCAGAAACAATGCCTTCCCATATGCCACAGTTTTATTAGATTAGGTTGTAAACAATGAATGTTCCGGGACATTGGTGAAAACAACAGCAGGATCAGCCAGAAATACATCAAATGAGTGTGTTCAGGGAAGACAGGAAAGAGAGGCCCACCAGTATCACTGCCTTGCTGGGGAGTGATAGGCATAAACCAAACTGCACTTCCTGGAGAAGCAACAGCAGAGGTTTAACACGGGGGTTGGGACAGGATGGGGGTAGGGGATGGAGGGGGTTGGGGAGGAAAACTTCACTAAAATAATCCAGCCAGTTAGTAAAAGGTAAACCAGCTAATAACAATAACAAGACCCTGGGAATTCTCTGGTGGTTCAGTGGTTAGGACTTGGTTCTTTCACCACCGGGGCCTGGGTTTGATTCCTGGTTGGGGAACTAACATCCCCACAAGCCACACAGCATGGCCAAAAAAGCCCAAAAGAAACAAACAACAACAACAACAATAAAAAACAAACAATAACAAGATCCTGGGATGGGGAAGGAACCAGTAACCAGATTTGACATATTATCTAAAATGCCCAGTTTTTAAAAAAAAATTATCTATATCTATCTATCTATCTATCTATCTATCATCATGCAAAGAAATATGAAAGTATAAGTATGACATGTACACTGGCAAAAAAAGAGCAAAACACAACTGCCTATGAGAACGTATATCAGATTTAATAGGAAAAAAATACCTCAAAAGAACAATTATAAGTAAGTTCACAGAACTAAAGGAGAGCAAGCATGACTAAAGAATTAAAGAAAGTATGAAGACAATGTTGTATCATATAGTAAAGAATGTCAATAAAGAGATAGAAATTATAAAAATGAAATCAACTTGAAATTCTGGATTTGAAAAGTACAATAAAAAAGTTCAATTAATCTTCAGAACTCTTCATCATGCAAAACTGAAACTCTGTACCCATTGAACAAAACTTCCTATTTCCCCCTCCCCCAGTCCCTGGCAACACCAATCTTTTGTCTGTCTCTATGATTTTTGACTACTCTGGGGACATTTTTTAAGTGGAATCAAACAGTATTTGTATTTTTGTAATTGGCTAATTCATTTAGAATAACGCCTTCAAGGTCCCCCTATGTTGTAAAATATGTCAGAATTTCCTTCCTTTTTTACACAATATTATTCCATTGTATATATACACCACATTTTGCTTATCCATTCATCTATGGATGGACACTTGAATTGTTTCCATATTTTGGCTACTGTGAAAAATGTGCTATAAACATGGAGGTACAAATATCTCTTTGAGCCCTTGTTTTCAGTTCTATTGGGTATATACCCTGAAGTGGAACTGATGGTTCATATGGTAAGTCTATTTTTATTTTTTGAAGAACTGC